TATCTCTTGGGTAGGCATTTCATTGTTCGTACGAATCAGAGGAGTTTGAAGTACTTGTTGGAACAACGGATGGTGACCGAGGAACATCAGAGGTGGCAGTCAAAGTTTTTGGGCTATGACTTTGAGATCCAGTATCGACCAGAGGTGGAAAATAAGGCGGCTGACGTCTTATTCAGATGTGTCGGGGAACTTCAGGAGTTGGCAGTCTCGGTACCACTAATAGTTGACTGGGGGGCCATCAAAGAAGAAAGCCTGCAGAGCGAGGAGCTGAAGAAGATCAAGGAAGACTTGAGGAAGGATAGTAGTAGCCATTCGGGGTACTATTTGGAGGGGGAGAAGTTGTTACATCAGTGGTGGTTCGTGATGCCACAAACATCAGAACACATTCCCCACTTACTACAGAAATTTCACGGCAGTGCTCTTGGGGGCATTCAGAGGTACAGAAGACATACAGAAGGCTGACAGCGGAGCTTTACTGGAAGGGGATGTATAAGGATGTTGAAGAGATGGTGGCAAGGTGTGAGGTGTGCCAGAGAAATAAATACATGACGATGACACTAGGAGGGCTACTTCAACCATTAGCGCTTCCAAACAAAGTGTGGGAGGAAGTATCTATGGACTTCATTAACGGCCTTCCCCGCTCAGAGGGATTCACAGTCATTTTTGTAGTAGTGGACCGACTTAGCAAGTATGCTCATTTTATTTTCTTACGACATCCTTACACCGCAGTATCAGTAGCGGCAGCATTTATCAGGGAGGTGGTGAGATTACATGGGGTTCCTGAGTCGATTGTGTCTGACAAAGACAAAATGTTCCTTGGCCACTTTTGGAAGGAGCTTTTCAGAATGTAGGACATGATTCTCAAGAGAAGTATTGCCTACCATTCACAGACAGACGGACAAACGGAGGTGGTAAACCTGAACTTGAAAACATATTTGAGGTGTTTTGCCTCTGAAACACCACGTATGTGGGCAAAGTGGTGACCTTGGGCTGAGTATTAGTACAATACCTCGTACCATTCTGCTTCTCAAATGACGCCTTTCAAGGTGATGTATGGCAGAGGACCCCCCACACTTAGTGCACTATGGGAAGGGAAGCACACCAGTTTCGTCAGTGGAGCAGTACTTGGAGGAAAGGGATAAGGTGATAGAAGAGTTGAAGAAACATCTGCAGAGGGCACAACAAAGTATGAAGAGACAGGCAGATTCACACAGGAGGGACATGCAGTTTGAAGTGGGGAGGTCTTCTTAAAATTACGTCCCTACAGGCAAAGGACAGTGGAGAGAAGGAGGAATGAGAAATTGGCACCAAGGTACTTCGGCCCCTATTGAATCTTGGGCAAGATTGGGGCAGTGGCATATCGACTGAAGCTGCCCCTATCAGCTATCATACACCTAGTGTTTCATGTGTCCCAGTTGAGAAGAGCTATTAGGGAGCATGCAGTATGGAGTTTCCAGAGACCCTGACTGAGGAGTTAGAAATGATATTAGAACCACTGGAGCTACGAGGCATCAGATCAGATAAACAGGGAGAGAAAGAAGTGCTGATTGGATGGAAAGGTCTTCCCGAGTTCGATGCGACGTGGGAGCCATTTGAAAGAATGAAGGATCAATTCCCTTCCTTCCACCTTGAAGACAAGGTGAATCTTTGGGAGGGGAGTAATGTTATGCCGGCCAAGGAGGGGCCGGCTGGACCGGTCCAACCAGGACCGGTCCGATTCTACACCCGGCGGGCCAGAGCCCGACAGAACCAGGCAGAGGAGGGGGCTGGAAGCTTTGGTGGGCCCATGCATGAGTTAAACACATTGTTGGGAGGAAAATTTTGAATTAGAAGGGTGTTTAGGGAATTTGTATCATTCCTTTAGCCTTAATTAGGGAGTAATGATAGAATTAGGTTTCCATCTTGAATTTGATTTGGAATTTGAGATCTAGGGTTCTTTTGCTTTGGCCTCTTGGCATTGCCGGAGATTTGGAGAGTTGTTCTTCCTCTCGGATTGAAGAACAATTGTATCTTTGTTATTTTACTTCATCGTCTAGTGGAATACAAGTCCCTTGTGGAGTTTTCTCTTAGTTTTTTCCCTTGGATTTGCTGTTTTCCTGCTGTGGATAGCAGTATTGCGGCTGTTTGTTTATCGATTTGGGTTAGGATTGCTTGCGAACTCAAGTATTACCTTAGGGTTACTTGCGAACTCAAGTATTTCCTATCAATTTCCTAAATTATGTTTAATTTATTTAGGAAGGTTTCCTAAATTTTGTTTAATTGTTTTGGAATGTTTCCGAACTCATATTTTAAATTGTTTAGGAAGGTTTTATTTATATTATTGTGTTCTAGGGCTATTTAAGGAGGAGTTGTCTAGGGTTTTAGAGGGAGGCTATTGAGGAGTTTTGTGAGTGTTTGTTGTCAAACATTTTTTGTGAGGGATTGTTGATTGATAAAAATAATAAGAAATGTAGTTGTAAGAAATTTTTTGTTAAAGACGGCTATGGCACAATGAAGGTTGGAACATAATTCTTGAAGGATGTGGCTTTAGTGCAAGTAAAATCGACCACATTGATGATAGTGGAGCAATCATCATTGTAACACTTAAAATTTTTATTACGAAAATTGCTGACAGATTACATTGAAGCCTGAAGGTGGAGTATCCATGGTATTTAATTCTTATGCTAATTAATGAATAACATTTTTTTTATCAAATAGATACGGAAGAGTGTGAAAACTGAAATAATATTAAAATTGATAATGGCTATAAGATTTATCCATCCATTCATGAAAAGAAAGATAAGCAACATTTTTTTAAGCTATTGCATGACAGCAATATGCTTCTCTTTAAAAAAATAGAAAAGTTGAACTCTTTAAATTGTAAGTATATTTTTAGTAATAATCAAGAGTCAACTATTAAAAAAAAGTGTGCTGCCATGATTTCAAATCTAATAGACACATTTCTCAAGAATGCTGCCTTCAAGTTGGCCCCACACCGTCGTGTTCAAAAATATCATTTAGCGGCGACTTAATCAATAAAAAGGAAGATAGAAACTGAAGAGAAGCTCACATTCATTTTCTTTTTTTCTGTTCCGTGCTGAGCAAACCCAATTGAACGCCGGACAAAACTTTCGCCTTTGCTTGTTTCGTCCAACGCCCCAAGCTCCACATGCCGGTCTGCGATGCCTCGTCCAACCAGTTACGTGAAGTGAACAATAAAGTTGAAAATCTCTCAAAAGCAAATCTAGATTAATAAAATATCTACGATGTGTAATAAAATTATCGAAAAATGATTCATGTAGCCGACCCCACGTAGTGGGACCAAGGCTTGATGTTGTTGTTGTTTGATGTGTAATAAAATTACTAGGTAGCATAGGGTTTAATCTAATCTAATATCAATCGTAAATAGAGCGCTTCTCCAAATGTAAGCCATAAACAATTATAATAAAAATTCATGACTACAAACAAAATTAACACCAATCGAATCCAGCTTAACATTATAAAAGAAAGAATAATTATCAATAGAACTTGGGACATAAGGAGGAGGAAGGAGAGGAGAAAATGGGAAGAAAGGTCATTATTGAAGGAGAGTAAATAAGGGAAAATGCTTGTCAATGACTGCTGTCGACTGAAGTGGGAGGAGGAGACGAGGATTCGATTGAAGGATTGAGAGTGGGAGAGAGTGAGAGAGATGAGAGGAGAGAAGTGTGGCGGCTATGAGAGGGAGTAGGAGAGATGGAGCAAAGCCCTATGTTTTGTTTCCTTAAGGCGGGAAGTTGTCGGCGAGAAAATTAGACAAGTAGTGAAATCGCGATTCACGCGATTGGGGAAGGGGCATTGCAGGGGATTTCACGTGCCTCGGGGTCGATCTGGTCCATAGGAGACCTGGTTTGGCCAGTTTGGGTTATTACAAAATGTAGTAAGGTAAATGTTACTAGTGCATTAAATATATACAGGTGGAGTGGTTGGTAGAAATTGTGTAATCACACAAACAACAACATTAGTAATGCTATGAAAACATCTTGTTGGAGTTAACTGACGGTGTAGAAAGATTGTATGGTCACATATTTGAGATACATATCCATATATGGATATTGATTGGTGTGTGTGATTATGGATGACTGACTGACTGTTGATAGCTTTGCAGATATAAATATTATTAAACTTCTTGTTTTATAATTATATTTATAACAAGTGACAAAACCCAGTAAATGGTGTTCCAAAAATGCAATGAGCTGCTAAGTTTTGTAGATTCCCCACTCCATTTTGATGATAGGATATTCTAAACATAGAACTATGAGACAACTTGCTGGTGTTTTACCTTTTATGAAGTATATTTATCGGCTGCATGAAGAAGTTTGCATTGTTCATGTCATTGCCTTTTTTCTACTTAATATGATTCCTAGATGTTTATGCCAGCAGACACAGCAAGAACCATCTAATGTTGTGAGCATGTTATTTATGTTCTGGGCGAAATGGTTCTGGTATTAGAGCTACTTCACAACATTATTGGGTGCCCTGAGATAATTTATTCTTACAGCTGAAACCAAACGCAAAAGCTAATTATAACTGGTAGATTGGTTTTCAATAGAACTTTGCCTTTTTGATTTGCTCAAGTTTCCTTGTGATTCTCTTTATGCTGTAGTATATTCTTTGTATTGGGCTCAACTGCACCACTATTTGTCTGTCATTCCACAACGTGCTTATGATGTCATATCATAGCATGCCATCTTATTACAATTACAACTATATGATTTTGTGCCAGTCTGTCTTTTGCACAGAAAAAACTTGTGCAATTGCACTTTAGAAGGATTGGTTAGCTCCTCAAAAGAATCTCTGTATAGTTGATTTTTAAATAAAATAAAAAAAACATGCAAAAGTAGTTTATACTGCAGTAAGCATTCCCAAGGCTTCTTTCCTTTATTCCTTAATGTGAAGAAGAATATTTAATCTGAGCGCATGCATTTCAGCTTGTAGCCTATCTAAGCTCCATTGTGATGTTCCACTTGTATATTTGAAAGGATGTCAGGCTTTCTGAGAATCCCATTGCTGATACCACTAAAGGTGGTGTCTCAAGGTTTGTCTTGGTTGCACGCTTAGCAAAAGTTAAGATACTAAATGGAAGTGAGGTATTTATGTGAACTTTTATTACTAGTTGGTTTTTTTGTAACACTAATGTTTGCTTGATTGATCGTATACTTTCATTCTAGTAGATAAGCATACGTGAGAGGAAGGAATCTGAAATTCGGTGAGTTTATGCTATTGTTTTCCATGTACTATTGACCATTTTAATTTATTATTAGCGCTCTTTTCTCTTTTTCCACTTTGTTGCCTTTGTCTACCGATCATAATTCTTAGGGGAGTCTAGTATTAATGCTAAAGCAAACCATCACCCAGGAAAATCCTTAAACAAGAAACTTGCAAGTTGCAAGATATCATTGGGCGAAAAGAATTTTCTTCCTATTATGGTAGTGTCATTTTCCAATAATGAGGATGATTTCTCACTTATGTGGAAGATAGTTTCTTTTCTTTCTCCCATAGTTAAACCCTCTCTTTGATTCCATATTTTCCTAATTTATAATAGCAATATGGGAAATATTATAGATTAAAATGATGACTTGATCTATGAAATATGACTTCAGGAAAAGAGGATAAATTTTTTTAACCATGGAAAGAAGAATACTTTTTGGATAATATGGAAAGGAAAAAAGAATATGAGAGATAAACTTATGTAAAAAGAAAATTGGAAAATTGAATTGATGAGATGGTCATGATTCCACCATCTCTTATTTAAACTTCACTTTTGGAATCGAAAGGCTTCAAGCTCATGATAAGAGAATTTTTATGTACTAATCATTTATGACATGTCATGATAACCCGAAGTGACTTTATCCATACAATATGCTAAAAAACTAACAAATTCAATTACAAATTTCTAAATAATCATTAGAGTAGGTAGATCAATGACCATGAAGATCCCCAATTGCATGAATGGCTAAAATAGTGAAACAAAGGGAGAAACAACTTATTCGTTTTTCTAAGGAATAAAATTTTAGCTAGGCTTATAAAAAAATAGCTGAACTCCAATCCACCGATGTCTAGTCACCATTAATTCTCTTTGATACAAAACACTTCATTCCAACCACTAGAAGATGAGTCAGAATAATTTGTTCACTATGCATTATCAAAAAATGGTACTTCTAAAAGCTGGACTATATTGGTGTCTAGAAGGACCATCATTGATCCTATTTAGAGAGAGATAGTAGCAGGACTACCCTTGGTGTTCCTTTTATAAAACTGGATACTCCTATTGAAGCACTAAAAAAAATACTCGAGGCTCGATGTTTCTTTCATTTCCATTGTGCCCTGGACGATATAGGTTCTAGTCATAAAAACAATCTTCTACAATGTAGTAGTGATATTGCTTGCATCAATCCTCCACAGATCTTGCATTAGTAGGAGCTTTATCCACAAGGATCAAGCTTTTTTTATTTCCTATAGTCATTTTGCAGGTTATGAATATGATCTATAAAGGATGAATAAAATTAGTGCATATAAGGGTAATATAATAAAGCTTGAAAGTTGTCTACATTAGAGGAGAACTGTTTATTACATTTTTAAAAATAAATTAAGACGATAATAAGTACAAGACATACCTTGATCTTGATTTGACTTTGAAAGTTTTATAAAAAAGACTATTATATGCCGTTTAAAATTTTGATGTATGTATTTTTCCTGAAGCATTTTAATTTTTGTGGTTTGCTAATAAGATTCTTATCCAGGTATGTTCGTCTTGTTATGGCAATGATGCAATCAGCAGATCCCCAGGAGATAAAACTACAACACCCGAGGTAACATTGAAATTGATCATGCGATTATTCAATTTTTGATATTTTTCTACATCAACATGACAATCGTAGTTTAAAAGTTGTGTCTGATATTATGTTATGATGCACATCATATATATTGTACCTAATATAAGGGTTGAGGGTTCAACATGGATATTAAATTGATTTATGGCTTGGATTAAGCTCAAATTGAATAAGGCATGAGCCAAATATTTTGCTTGATTTGATATTTGAGTCAATTTTGAGCTTGGCCTGATAATTGGCTTGAATATAAATATTTTATTTTTATCAATTTAATATGTAGTTATCATAAATATGTAAATGTCCATTAAAAAAAAAATTCAAGTTGGCTTGTTTCAAGTTCAAGACGGATTGAAATCAAGCTAATTTAAGCTGAACTACTCAAAATCAATATGATTGGAACGAAGAAATCATTTCAAGCCAAAAGTGGATCTGTTAGAAATCAGATATTTGTTACCCATACTTAAGATATTGAAGCATGTGAGCTTGAATCTCTTTACATATTAGCTGTGAAATTGTCGTTTAACTGAATTACATGCGGGAAAAGGAGTTGGAAGAAGAATAACGATAATTCTTTATTGAATGTAAATATGATAATAGGATTTTTGAAATGGGATGAAGGGATATAAGATCTTCTGTGATGTTTTCAGTTCAAATCAATAGTAGCGGGTGATGTATTCAGCTTGCTCCAATAGTGGGTTGAATGTGGAAACTCGAACTCTGTCCATTTACTTGTTATTCTATATTTTCACACGACCCTTTATTTGGATTTTCATGTTAAAAGGTCATATATTCTTACACTTGACCTTTGAAAAGAAAAGTTGCCAATTAAAATTATCCCCATTATCTATTTTTCATCCAGTTTAAGTTTTGGCATTATCTTTTGAAAGCATTTATGATTACTACTTCATGGAATGTTGGAAATTCAATGGAAATATCTACTCATATTGGTTTGACTGTCATATTTCTGTCACCTAGAAAGCACTTTTGTCTGAACAATGTTATGATCATGCTTGGGCATGACGGATTGCAAATGCAATTCTCCATGACCATTAGCGCAATGCCAAACCTACTTTTGGTTGTATATATGACCTATAGTCAGCTTTGCTATAGCAAATGAAAATAGTAGTAAGCAAGCTTGAATATAATGCCTCAAATTATCCTGGCAAGGTGATTGCAGAAGTGTGTTTCTACGGAAAAGTTAAATTTACACAATAGTGTCAAATAATTATTGTTAAGTGTTTAACTAAGTCAGGTTGTATTCAGTTGCGATACTATGTTATGGTTTTGCTGAAGTTACCGTACAAGCTTATTGTTGGGATCATTAAAAACCATCTTTTTTTCGGCCACAATTTTTAATGTGAAGTACGAAACTTAAGATGCATAGAATGACTAAATCAGGGACTGATTCGGCTCAACTTGGTTGGACGTGTTCCCTAATTGATTCGAACCAGTTTGATCGACAGCCAAATTTTCTGATCAAATGGATTTTTTGCATCCTTGAAATAACCAAAATGAGGGAAAGGAAGGAGGTGATTGTTATACTTGAGAATTTATAAGTTTATGATGCAATTTTCTTTATGATTGCATATTTTTTTTACATGACTTATCTCAAGTGTGGGGTTTTTCATATCTGATTGTATATTTGATTCTATGACCATATATACATGTTATCCTCTGATTCGTGAACTCTGATCCATCATAGATATTTGTGAACTTTGATGATAATGATATTTTGCTATGGCTAATGCATAGTGGTTGATTGTTTATTATATTAGCTCAGCATTGTCTACTAAACATATAGTCTTGTCTATTATTATATGACATTTTTCATATATGAACAAGGGACTTGGGCTGGGTAACTTGATACTTCTTTTAAGAAAGTCCATGCTCATGCTAGGTTGTTGTGCTTTTGAGGATAATATTCTTTAGCGTATATGGTGTACATTATGTGTCTTGATGATATATAGACTGGAAGCCCTTTTAATATATTTTGATGCTTTAATTAATGAAAGTTGTTTCTTATTCTATTGTGTTGTAAATGTATTTGATCCATTGGTGGTTTCCGAGTCATTGATCCCTACCTTGTTGAAAGCCTTCTACATCTCATCGTCTCATGATGCCTCATAAAGGTAAACAAGCTTCCAAGGCTAAGTTCTGCTGCTCCCTTGCAAATCAACAGTCTCATTGTTGCACACAAAGATCTATCCTTGATGTACTCCAACTGCATCTCTCCTTGTCGAGCCTCACTCCCTCACTCGCTGGTAAACTTCACCAACCTCTTTTTTCAAACTTGCCATTGTTTAGCTTTCAATCTCGTTTACCAGAAGTCATAAGACTCGCTTTCCGAGCCACTTTCAATGAAAACCTTAAGTCCCGACCCAAATTCAAAAACCCGGGCTAATTTTCGGAGAAGATGTAAGACCCGCTTCAATTCAAACATTTGGGTAACTTCTAAATGAAGTTTCCCAAACCAAATTAACTTCTGGGTATTCTAATAGATGTCAACCCCAATAAAATTAAAATTTATATTTAACTATCTCAGTCTATTTGGGATCCCTAAGAGGAGGCAACCCATGACTGCTAATCAGATTCTCTGGATACTATATTCAATGATTGTTAGTGTTGGTAGACTGAAACCTACGGTGTACGCGGGATGACAAAACCATGGGATCTTGATCAGGTTTACCTCCATTTTCCCCACAACTGAGACTAAAACATCTAAAATTTATTCATCCTTAATCGAGAGTTCTCTCTTATGCGTTTAGAGGGGTAATTAACTATGAGTGCTTGCACTCATTGGAAGTAAGGACTCAGATCTAATTAAACCTTGACACTGACCTCAGGAAAAATCTAGTTAACTACAATTTGATCGAAGGAAGATGGAATCCTATATCTGCAAAAGTGGGATTCATACCAACGTACCATATTTCTTGAGCCAACACTAGAAGATCCCATGATGAGGTTAGAAAACATGATGACGTGAAGAATATACTTACAAAGTTTCCACTAACACATTGATTCTCGATATTCTCTCATTGCAAGTATTTAGGAGACACCTTTTCATTTTACTTATTTAGCCTTAACTTTATACATTATATATATATATATATATATATATATATTGGTTTGGCTTAATGTACACTTATCTATCTAAATACATGAAGAGTTACTCCATTTTGCTATGTAGAAAATGAGTGCGCCCCCATGCATTGTTCAAGCACCATGATCGTTGTTATCCTTCTCATATTTATTGTGGGGCTGGCCTAATCAATGTATGAGTGATCTATAAATGCATTTTCTAAAGTGGTCTCCATAATTAGATATTTTTGAGAAACCCTCTATCACCCCTATTTGGGTTGTTTTGACCCATCTCTAGGCTTACTGCATCAATCAGCCCACACTACTCTTTGAATTGAATTCTTGGCAAACTAATATAAGTGAATGTTGGTACTACTAGACTCCCTCGATCACCTATGACTCATGTTCTTGTTGAGATAAGTATTTCTGCCCCTTTGGTTCAAGAGGTTTGGATTAGTACTTCCTCAAGCGACTACTGGCAAAAAGTAGATTTTGAAGGTTTACCCTCCTATTCATGCAAATTTTTGGACATGACTAAGGCTCTAATGAAATCAAGGAAATAAACCTCTAGGATTCCTAATAGTATAATTGACTCTTTTGATAATAGTATGGACACGCAAAAATTTTTTTTGTCAATACTCATGATCATTTTTAGAGCCTTATACTCAATGCTCTTGATATTACTCTAGAATATGTTTTTAATTAGTGTCTTCACTTATTGTTGATGATATTTGTTGGATGATAGTATCCCACTGCTTCATCTATAGCATCATCTACTTTGGGTGTTAGAACTTAAGATACATTTATAGTTATGTTTGGGTTAGATATATGCCAGCCTATTATGGCTCTTGCAGTTACTCAAGTTATTTCTTCTCCTTGTGATAATGCACATGTATTCATGAATGCTATATTTGATTGCTCTAGAGTGAGGTTGTTGATGATTCAAGTTTGCTCGTCTTCAAATTTTATCATAAGTTTATCTAGTTAATGAATAAAAGTTTTAGCTAGTGTTTTCTCATCATGACAATAATCGATAAAAGCCCTTCGCCATCCTCTCAAATTTACTAGATTCCATGCCAGACAGAATAATTCCTCAGGTGATTTTAATATTATGGGCTTATAGCATACGTCTGAATGTAAGTTCACTTTCCTCCACATGGAGGAACAGTAGTCATAATACTTTAAGTTTCTCTTGATCCTATGTATTTTGCATTACTTTTTATAATGGCAGTTTTATGAGATTGTTAGTTTGACTAGTTCTAAAATTTAGTTGTTTATAAAATAGTCAAAGTGCATATACATGCATACTTCACAATACTGGCCAATAATCAAGAAAGAGCTATAGAGATCCATTTCTAGCAATCAGGTAATTCATAAGAGAGTACAGGGAAGAAATGTAGCAAAATTTATGTGCGCATACAAAATGCTAGCAGTTATGTGACAATTATCAGCATTTATTAAGTAATAACCACTAAAAGATTTCTCAAACCAAACAAGAAAAATGTCCCAAACGCACAGAGAGAGAAACTAAATATGATCCTGAACCATTTCTTTCAAAAGCATATGGCGGCTAAAAAAATCTGTGTAGATAAAACCAACCTCAGGCCCAAGAAAGCGCTCGTATCCAATATCGCATGAGTATGGTGCTCCAGTCTTTGGCTTTATACCCGTCCATTGCTTGATATACTTGTTAGGTTCCTTGTCATACTTATTAAACTCCTGAATTGCTTACAAGAATTAAATTCATACACAAGTGCATATGATAGACCTAGAAGAACTGAGTAAAAATAAGAAGTAGCTACAGGCTTTAAACCATCCAGTCATCTTTGTTCTCAACACCGTTTATTTTGCATACGTAAGACAACAGTGAGAAGAACAAGCCTTTCAGGTACAAGTTTTTCAATAAATAATTAAATAAATACTTAATGAATAAGTTCATATAACATAGGAAAGAAAAATCGTATTAAATAAAATTTTCAAGTTGTTATGACTGCTTATTACTATGTTTCATACAGCAAAATTAATATACATGAAATCAGAAAAATATCTTGGTAGATATTTTAGTCAGATACTTAGTGATATTCAAAAACAAAAAACAAAAGGAAATTAACACTAAGGATGTGCATAAACTCTTATCGCAAAATATCGCTAGTAAGCATTTAGCAACAATATCAAATGGTTCTCAATTATTTGTATGTAGCCAATTTAGTCTCAGTACATCACATTTCTCCAATTTAATCCATCAATTATACAAAATTGATCCAAAATGGTCTCTCTGAGACTAAATTGGGATAATTTGTGTAATCTAAGGACTAAATTAAGATCAATTTTTATCCAAATTTCTGCATGAACCCTTTTGAATTGATTTTGCAAAGTAAAGAACTAAGCCTTTATTTGGGACAACTTTCTTACTGTTTTCTAAAACAGTATTTTAGTTAAAAATTTTCAAGTTCAAAAATTTTTTATACTAGAAATATGTTTTATAAAGCAGTTAGAAAGTTGTCCCAAACGAAGCCTAAATTGGAGAAATATGATACTATGAGGCTAAATTGGCCACATGCAAATAGTCGACGGACTATTTTTGGGATTTAATTCATTTTTAGTCATGTGAATCACATGGCGTCCATGAAACCTTGTGAACTAAAATTTTTATTTAGAAGTAGATATCACATAGGGCGAGGTGCTGTTTATCTATCAATCATATCTCATGAATGTCTCAGTCAACTCAGATTTGTATGGGGAGACACTACACTGTGCTTTCATCTTACAATGGCTTTAGAGACCAAGCAAAAATTCTTTATGTTGTTACTTTTTATTGAGTGCTAAAAAAGATTACTCTCAAATGCTTTATTTTTTATATTTTTAATTAATTTAAGGCTTATGCTTCAACACACCTAGAAGCTTTACACCTTGCCTCACAAAAAGAAAACTCCTCCAAGTATGTGCATTTTCAAACTTTGATCTAAAGCTTAGGATTGCATGACCTATTATTAGAGGTCATTCTGCATTTGACAAACTAAGACTCATGTAAAACCCCTTAAAATTAAAATTATAAGTCTTGGTCTATTAGACCTCTCTAACAAACAGAGTAGTGTGTTAGACCGGTCCAGTGGACCGGTCCAGCCGGTCCAGGCGGGACCGGTTCACGGGCGAATATCGCGAAACAGGCGATTTGTTCGCCTGGGCGAAGGCCGCGCGCACCGCACGCCTTGCGGGAGCCGAATAGGAAGCTTTTTTGGGGAAATTAAGAGGGGAATTTGAATGTAGGGACTGTTTAGGGATTTCCTTTTGATTTGTATGCATTAAATAGTAGATTTTCCTAGGGTTTGATCATCTTGAATTTGGCTGAAATTTGAGATCTCGTAGATTTAGGTTTCTTTGGGCTCTAGCTGCGTCTAGAGATTTGGGAGAGATCGATCCTCCTCTCGAATTGAGGATCAATTGTATCTTGCTCTTTTATTCATCGTCTAAGTGGAATACAAGTATTTTCTTTGAGTTTTCTCTCAGATTTCCTTGTCGTTTGCTGTTTTTCTGCTGTAAACAACAGATTTCTGCTGTATTTCTGCTGTGGACAGCAGTTTCCATTGGATCAACTTCAGTTTTGGTGAGAAACACTTGGGAACTCAAGTGTTTCCTATCAGTTTCGTAGGCCACACATTGTATTAGATGGTATGAATTGTGGTTTAAGTGATATATTTATTTAATGATTTACAAAAGTATATTGTTCGAATGAAACATTATGGTTATATATACTGGAATGATTTTAATTTAAGAATATATAATCATCTTTTCCCCCTATTCCATACTGTCTTTGATTCAAGGCCATTCATTTGTGAGAATTAATTAAAAGTTTGATCGCTTATTGTCTTGTTGGCTCTATTGCTAAATGTCAGTCATGTAATAATGGATTTTTTCCACTTAAAGGGGTAATAGACATTCGCTACATATATTCATATAATTCTATTGCAAAGTGCAAATATTTTTATGTTCAGCTCATTAATGGGAAGATCTTCCAAACTCGTTCTGAGATTGGGTTAGTTAATTAAATTAATTAACAATCCATGTTCGGCCAACACAGAAAGTCAACCTTAAGCTATTCCCAAACATCATTGCTAATTTGATTAGCTTAAAATCTAGTAATGCATACAGCCCTGATTAAAAACCTATATTGGCATCTATATTATTTATTATAAGTCCCTTTATTTGTTTTGGGGGGAGAGTTGATGAGGGCGGACCATACTCCTTTGTGGTCTGCTTTTTAGTTTGGAGCCGCACACATGGACCTGTTTGTTGAATTGATATATTCTGGACCATGAATGCATGTTATTTAAGTTGTTTTGAACGATGATATGTGAGCGTGCATGCAACTGACCAGTTTTTAGCATGGATTGAAAGTTTATATGAATTTATCATTATTTTTTTGTTTTTCTGGACTATATATTAATGTGAATAAGCATTACTTTGAGAAAAATATACGAGCATCTTCCCTTAATAAAATGCCCCTGGTGGTAAACCAGATTAACCTTAATTCATCTAAGCGTTTGTTACTGAAATGTCTCTGTTCTTTTAGATTCATCGAGCTGCTTTCCTGACGGAGTTAATGATGCTGCGTCAATGAGGCTTGTTTATTGTTTAGCTTGAAATATTTGTGGTTTAGGTTTGCAGAGCTGAAATCCCTTTATGAAATTGATGATGAGAAGCCATCTGCTGGAGTATCAGTCCCTCAAAAGATGTCTGCAGGACTTATATGTACGTAATCAATCAGTATAAATTTTTTTGGTGGATTTCTTTTCTTTATTTACCTTGAATTAGTTCTGTATTTTCAGCCATCACCTTGATATGCGTGGGAGCTTCCATGGGAGAGAGGCAACCCTTGTCAAAAAAATTACCGCCTACAACTACGGTAGGCTTGCTTATTTATAAATAGTTTTTGTAAGGTTTCAAACTTTAATGGAAACTCTCTTTTGTGATAAGATGGTAAGGCTAAGCTGACTTTGAAGTTTTTTTTTGGGCTTAAAACTGTCGTTCCAGTAAACTGATTAAGTCGGTGGTTAAAATATAGAAGTGATGAAAGGGTACCATGCAATAAATAAAATGATATTATGGAGGTTGAAGATATTAACTGACAAAACTATAGTTAGACTAATCATTTTTATAGATCTTGATACAACAAGAAAGTCAATTTTAGACGAGGTATCAAGGAAGTTAATTTTAGACGAGGTGTGGTAGAAATAAAAATGTTAATGTATTATAGATGTGTGGTACAATTGAAAAAGATAGCGGGAGAAAAAATTATATGAGAAAGATAATGGATGAAACCCTAGTTTGAAATAAAGTAGTGAAAAGTAGACTTAAATGAATTACCATATACAACAAGGGGCAAAAGATGCTTCTATGAGTGTTATATAAATATTATATAGAAGGATAGGGAGGAAAAATGTAAAAAACATATCATGGTTAGAGCTTGTATGAACCGTGCAAAAAGAGTTTAGCATGTCGTCTAATACTAAGAAGAATGAATGAAGAAAGTTAAATAATAAGGCTGATCCTAAATAGTTTCGAAAGTCCAATGATGATGACTTTTGGATTTATTTATTTATTTATTGTTATTTTTTTAATTTTGGACTTGTTTGGGGCATAAAACAATCAAAACTCATCAACGAATTGTTTCTACTGCAACTTATTTGGCTGGGATAGTCAGTTTGGCTGGCTGAGGTAGATGCGTATATGTTTGTCTGGGCCAGTTTGGTTTATTTTACTTTCAAAGCTGATGTTATATTATTTCAATCATTGAAGATGTTCTGTTGTGGACTCATGTTATGTATCCTAAAAGAAAATCCCTTAAGGGATTGGTCAAATTGCATTGAATTGGATTTGTCTTCTAGTTTGAGTTGGATAAATTGAATCCAAGTATTATCTTCTTAAAGCTTACTCTATCCCTACTAAATTGGAAATTCATGGTTGGGATGATGATTTAGCTTATGCTAGTTGCAACCTACTAAAAAGGGTTAAAGTTGCAGGGATCTAGTTTTAGTTTGTAGTAGGTTGTGTTTTCTCTTAAATACAAATGTGAAAATCTATTTGATTTTTTATGTAATCTTTCACTCCGTGCGATTGGAATAACAAAACTGAACTTTGGACAGGAGTTCATATTACTTCATGAGACATCATTGCTAATGAAATCAACTTAGGAGTAGTAATTGTATATTTAAGTGTGATATAATAATTGTGCAAATTAAATAAATATAACATGCATACAATCTATTTCATATAATATTAAATTATTGTCTTTTGTAAAAAATAAAAGTATTATAAAAAGATACAATATAAAGTGATTAATTATTAAATTTATATTTTATTTATTTATATCAAAATCAAAAGCCTCTTGTTCCCTTCAATTTTCTGTAGCTCTACTATTCCCATCATCGTTATTTTATCTAACCTATGACACCTAATTTGCATATTAGATACACATGTTTGTCATTTATTTATTATAATTTTGGCATGTTTGACATATGTTGGATGCATGTCGAATGTGTGCCATGTGTTATATATGTTGTTGAACACTGCATACTTTGAAATTATAATATGACAGGGCATCCATAAAACACTCTTATAGCGTCAAGCTGTTAGTCCCAACCTTAGGACTCGAACCTTTAGAAATAATTAATAATTTGCATGAGCCACGAATCACCAAAAGTCACCTACGGAAAAGTTCACTAGTTGAACCGGTTAATTTATCGCAATTTTGTGGTAGTAACTCCATTCGTAAATTTTTAAGAAAATATATGACAATGCATTTGCAAATGGCTCAAGTTTCCATCTGCAATGAACTCTCCCTGATGCTGGGTTTGATTATTTGAATATCATAATCAAGGGGATCTTATCATAAAGGTCTTCTCAAATTCCAAGGAAAATATGTTCCAGGCTCATTTCTTGATGTGACATATTTAAAACAAAATCATTATCGAAACTAAGTCCACTCAAACACAAACCTTGTTAATAAAATAATAGAAAACAAAAATATACTGTGAAAACTAAAAAGCGGATGCAATTGTTGGTTGCTTTATGCTTTAGAGCAACCATCCATTCATCACTTGCACTAGTTTTCCAAGGAGACAAACTTAGGTTTGAACAAAGTTTGCAAAGAGCTAATATTCACATCAGGTGTATCTTTATGACCTCAATAAAAAATATCTTGTCAAAAAGAACTTGGCATGTTCCCCTTAACCATGTTTTAGCTTGACTTTGATGATGTCATTCTATTATTGTTATGACCTAAGTCCGAATGTTTCCTAATAGCTAAGCCCATGAGTTGTGAGCCATAAGATGCTCAATGGGGTATGAAGCCTTTTTTTAGCCAAGGTTGGCTCAAAATTGACTACTTTGGCAAGCTTTACTACATTCCTACAATGCTCTATTCGATAACAAAATCCATGATTGACAAGAATCTTTTGATTAGGTTGAGTCAACTATATCTACTGACTAAGTGATTGGGATCCATGACAACTCGGGATGGCTTAACTATAAAATCTTGATTGGAATTGAGATTAGTAATTAATCATTAGGGATTGTGCCAATAAGAAACCTCGAACTAGATCCTAAAATTATCATAAGGGGGCGAAATATTTAGAAAGTATCTTATTTAATATTCAATTTACTTTCTAAAAAAATTACTTTAAATTACTCGAATGGTGACATTGCTGGTTGGGTACTTTCAGAGCCTATATATATATATAT